GGGAACCCTGATTGCTTTTCGAGCAGATGAGGGAGGGGGACTTGATCGGGGAGGGGGAGGGAAATGGGAAGCGGTTGCGGGGACGAGGCAGAAATCCTTAATAAATAAATAAATTAAAAAAAAAACAAATGGTGCTGGCACAACTGGATGTCAACCTGTAGAAGAATGAAAATAGACCCATATCTATCACCATGCACAAAACTCAAGTCCAAATGAATCAAAGACCTCAATATCAGTCTGAACACACTGAACCTGATAGAAGAGAAAGTGGGAAGTACCCTACAACACATGGGCACAGGAGATCGCTTCCTAGGTATAACCCCAGCAGCACAGACATTAAGGGCAACATTGAATAAATGGGACCTACTAAAACTGAGAAGCTTCTGTAAAGCAAAGGACACTGTCACTAAGACAAAAAGGCAACCTACTGACTGGGAGAAGATCTTCACCAACCCCGCAACAGACAAAGGTCTGATCTCCAAAATATATAAACAACTCAAGAAACTAGACTTTAAAATGCTAATTAACCCAATTAAAAAATGGGGCACTGAACTGAACAGAGAATTCTCAACAGAAGTTCAAATGGCCAAAAGACACTTAAGGTCATGTTCAACCTCCTTAGGGATCAGGGAAATGCAAATCAAAACAACTTTGAGATATCATCTTACACCTGTCAGAATGGCTAAAATCAAAAACACCAATGATAGCCTTTGCTGGAGAGGCTGTGGAGGAAGCGGTACCCTCATCCATTGCTGGTGGGAATGCAAATTTGGGCAATCACTTTGGAAATCAGTGTTCCGGTTTCTCAGGAAATTCGGGATCAACCTACCCCTGGACCCAGCAATACCACTCTTGGGAATATACCCAAGAGATGCCCTATCATATGACAAAAGCATTTGTTCAACTATGTTCATAGCAGTATTATTTGTAATAGCCAGAACCTGGAAACAACCTAGATGTCTTTCAATGGAAGAATGAAGAAAGTGTGGAATATATACACATTAGAGTACTATGCTGCGGTAAAAAACAATGACTTCTCGAATTTTGCATGCAAATGGATGGAAATAAAAAACACTATCCTGAGTGAGGTAGGCCAGACCCAAAAAGATGAACATGGGATGTACTCACTCATAACTGGTTTCTAGCCATAAATAAAGGTTATGGAGTCTATAACTGGTGATCCTAAAGAAGCTAAATAAGAAGGTGAACCCAAAGAAAAACATATAGTTATCCTCCTGGCTATGTGAAGTAGACAAAATTGCCGGGGAAAAAATTGGGATCTTGGGGGTTGGGTGGGATGGGGGTAAGGGGAGATGGGGAGAGAGAAAAGTGAGAAAGGGAGGATGGGGGAACTTGGGGAAACAGTATCACTTTCTAAAGTTCTTTACAATAGACAGAGGGAAAGAAGGAAAGAAAAGAGGAAAGAAGGGAGGGAGGAAAGGAAAGAGGGAGGCAGGGAGGGAGGGATGGAGATAGGAAGAAAGGGAGGGAGGGAACTCTTAGCTGCCTTATCTGGAATTCATGGGAGGAAATATAAAAGTTAAGTTTCTAGGACCTTCCAGTACCTCCTCCACCCTGGCTGGTGAAAACACACTTATTCTGAGTCAGCACTGTGTATTTGTAAACACAATGAAGCTCAAAGGCAGCTCCATGCTTTTTGCACTGAGAATTAGTTTACAGATTTACATGAGGAACATCTAGTTGGGCACAGGAATATAGAAGGTAGGAGGAGCAGGTGGTTGATGACCTAGTGGTTGATTCACAGTGGACTTCAAATAGTGGGAGAAGATCGAAGATTTCCAAGGCAAAAAAGAAAAGTACTAAAGTGAAAAAACAAAAACTTTCAAATCCTCACACATCACTGAATTTTATGTTTTTCACTTAGACAAAGGAATGTTACAAAGGCCAGTTCCATTTCAAGAGATTTTCATTCATTTTCCACCTCTGAAGTAAAAGGAATGTCTCATTTACAGCTTCAAAATACTTACATGATGCATAACTCCTATCAGTGCTGTTACAAATTTATCTTATTTGTGCCAATTAAATCAAAGTCCCTAAGTGTCAAATGGACAAAGAAAGTTAGCTCTGGTGTAAGAGAACAGGAATAGGAGTGCCTCTATGCGTCAGCCATCCAGCTAGTCTATTCCCATCCACGAGCAAAGACATTCTCAAGCATGGGGCCGTGCACAAAATCAGCATAACCTATCTGGTGGGAAATGCAAATAAGAGGTCAAGCGGACTATGGATAAAAAGTCATAAGAAACCTGCAACTTCATAAGCTAATAAAAAAATGAAAAATGTTTGAGCAGTGGTACCTTGTGCGAGTGAATAAAGCTGTTCCCAGAAGCCATAAGGTTATTAGATCGCCTAAATATTTTGGATTATGCCCATTGTGATGGTTAGTCTTAACTGTTAATTTGATGCAACCTAGAATCACGGGGGAGATGAGCATCTGGGCGTACCTGTGGGATTAGCTTGATTTTATGTTAACTGATGTGAGAAAACCCATTTGAATTGTGGGCTGGACTGTTCCTTCAGCAGGGAGTCATCATGGGCCATACAAAGTGGAGACAGGAAGCTAAGCATGCACTGGTTCCTCTCTGCTTCTCAAGAGTGGATGCAATGTGACCAACTAGTTCAGGATCCCACTGCTGTGACTTTCCTGCTATAATGGACTATAACATGGGCCTATAAACCTGAACACATTTCTCCTTTAAATTGCCTTTGTCAGGTATTGCGATCATAGCAACTAAAATGATCAGTGTTTGTAATGTTGGTCAGGAAGGCATAGATTTGTAATAGGTGATGGTTGCTCTGGAGACTCATGACTGGTCAAAGTGTTGAATGACGCAAATTGTGCTGTAGACCGTCACAGAGGGTCCAGGAAGAATTCAAGAGCTGGAGGAAGGGATGCAGCGTTTGGAACATTTCATTCCTAAATTCTAATCAGTGGTGTGAAAGAAATATTACCCATCAACACTACCACGAGAGGAGAGGGAATCACAAAGCCATCTTCCCTTGAGATTATAAATAGTTAATGGTTGCTGGCAGGAAGGAGACAATTTTCTTCAGTGATCTAGCCAGGGGTTAAGTTATACATGCTCCTGAATGCAACGCAATAAACTCTGAGTCCCAAAGACAAACACTTGATAAAGAACCGGGCAACTGAATGGGAGAGGAAGAAGGGGGAGCAGCATAAATATGACAAAATGCAGGGTAAATATGACAAAAATACATAGTATACATGTGTGAAAATGTCAGAAATGAAAATCCCTGAGCAAGGGTGAGCTTCCTCCCCATAGGTTGTTGGCCAGGACGACTACCGATGTACCCAATATAGGTCAACTGCTCCTGATGCTGGCTGTATATCGTAGCTAGATGTTAAAACCCCATTACTACACACAATACATACTTTGGTTGAAAGGCAGGCAGAAGTCAAGTTGCAATTGAGCTAGAAGCCTTCTCCTGCAGGCAAGATTGTATGATGCTGGAAGGCACTGAGCAAGCTGGTGGCAGGGAACTGCCCATGCTCCTGTGCACATCCATGGACCCTGGATACTACAGTGCTGACCTTCCGGCCAAGATAGGCAGTGGTGCAATAGTGCCAGGGCTGTTGAGGATAACTGCTTTCTGAGGAGACTTGAGGCCTACTTCACATGCCTGGTACTGCAAACCTAGTCAAAAGCCATGGCTGGGAAGGACTTAGGCTTTTGTGGGGGAAGCTCTTGCTAAAAGATCACCATGTAGCTGTCATTCTCCTTCTGAATAAGATCATTCCCATGGAGTCATGCAGTGGTCAGCAAAGTTTCCTTTTGTGCTGGTTTGCAGTTCCTACAGACGTTCAGAACTGGTAGGTGCTAAGAATAAACGACCACTGAATGCTAAGCCATGAACATGACATCTATGTCCCCCTACTTCCAGGTGCAGTAACATGTGAAATAGGAAGGGGAACAAAGAATGTAAGGGACAGAGGGCAGGTACAATGTGGAAGAGTCTTCTGGACCTAGCAAGACCATTGCACTCTTCAACTCTTGGCAAATGATCACTGATAAAACCCACGTAAGACTGGGGCCATCATATGTCATAGAGTCAAGAGGGCCCACCTCTCCCTGATTACTTATAGGTAGTGAACATTTGCCAGGGTAGGGCTCATGAGGCCACATTCATCCCTGAAGATCTTCAGGCAGTTAATAAGCTGACAAGAGGAACTGTTTCTTCCATCTTTAGCCTCTGTTAAACTGCCCCTGCTCTTATGAACCTTTAAACAACCCTATATAAATATGTTGGGTCACACACACATAAAAGACACAAAAGTAGAAAAGGACACTTTGGGAATAGGAAGGGGATCAGTGAGCATGGGAGGGGACAATGGAAGGCAATGGAGGGGTGAAAGTGCCCCAAATATATTCATGTATGAAAATGTCATCCTGAAACCCATCATATATAACTACTATATGCTAATAAAAATGCAAATCCTGGCGTCCCCATCTCAGATTAACCAAGTGAAAAACTTCTGTGGAAGGGCCACTTCCAGCTTGAAAATTATCATATGAGAACATCATTCTCCACAAGATGTCAGAATCCAAGTAAACTGTGTTAGGAAGTCATTTCTACATGGGTAAACACAACTAAGCTGCCTTCCCTCCAAGTAGGATAAAGAATAATGCACAAATATATGGATTACAATTTGAGGAACTTTTATACCAAATTATCTGTGGTATAATGTATAGGAAAAGCTATAAACGACTCTGTAATTATACCAACACATATGTCCCTTGCTGAAAGAAACAATGGAACACATGTGGTTTTGACCATATACAATATAAAATTTTGGATGATTCTAGCACCCAGCATCAGCAATGCCCCCTTAGTGACTATCCCTCCCCTTTCAATGAGGTCTACGAGATGATGTAGAGCTGTTCATGGCCATCTGAAATGAAAATGTGCGTGGTCACAGTCAGGGTGCAAAGGAAAATAGCAGGCAAAGAACATTTTGCACATTTTTCATGTATTTTTTATTTAACATATATAATACATGTAAACAAGGGGCATAAAATTCATAAAAATACAATACTCTTATGCAGTCATCACTTCATTTCAGACACATCCTTTTATTTTCTCCTTAATGCTATTGGCCTACTCTAACAGCACACATTTTCTGTCAGGCATTTCAGAGGCTTATCTTTTTATGGAAGTATTACCCAGCTTTTTAAAAAATGTCACAATAATAACTATTTCATTTGCCTCCTGTCTTTCCTTACTTTCCTCACATTAAAGCAAAAATATTTGTAAATGCTAAAAATATGCAAAATACTGAGCTTTAATGCTGCATTGTCAGCTACACAGAATCTATTACTGTTCCATGTTGCCGTAAAAGTGCTTAAGTCGCAGAGCACCGGCTGCTACTGGATGTGCTGGAGGCTAAATACGCAGTGGACCCCCAAGGCCTCTGTTCCAAGCTGACTTGCCTAAAATACAAGCAGAGCTTGCTGGTGGAGTCACATTAAGAAATACTGTTACAAAAGGCTTCTGCAGAAAACTAATTTAGACTGCTTTTAATGTTTCCCAGCGTGTGAGCTGGTTCTAATAGTATTTTAATGTTTTGTTTCTCTGTACAGAATTTCCAATCATTACACATGAACTTATGATGAAGGGACTTGTTAGAGGGTAAGGATAGAAAAGAACTTTAAAAAGGTGATTTTAAAAAAATCCTAACTGCTGTATACACACAGCAGTCACGTCAGGGTGCAGAGGGAGTGCAGACAAGCAGGGTGTGCATGCCGCCCTCACACCCACGCCTACTCTCTCTCCAACCTCAGGAGCCCTCTTTCCACTTCCTCGTAATCCTGCACCATCACTGAAACACTCCTAACCCACCTATCTCCAGCTGCCTCCCTATGTTCTGAGTTGGTAGAAGCTTATGAAATAAAAAACTGAGCGCCACATGAGGAAGCGGAGTCACAGTGTGCAACATTAGGAACGACAGTCCCTGGGCAGCTCCAGGACGGGACATCCTAGGAGGCGAGGTTGGCTCTGGGGACACTGAGGCCACGCTCCTCAGTCTCACGTGCTGTCTTTTCAGGTGACAACAGGAGCAAGCTAGTGCTTCCCCCAGACAAACTTGTTCTTGGCCTCTGGTAAGAAGGCAGGAAAAGAACAGCTCTTCTGCGGCTGCCAGGATGGGCACCGGAAACCATCCCTGAGGACTCAGGTCTCAAGGACAATCCACACTGAGGTTAATCAGCCTGTGGTTAATAAAGAGAAGACTGTAATTAAATGTGTAGTCAGCCATGGTCACAATTTGCTTAGAATTTAAAACCTGAAAACCATTTCTTACAACAGTGAAGATCCATGGTTTTGAAGAATCTCATTTCACACAAATTAACTTCTAAGAAACAAAATCTGTGTAAAAATTCAAAGCATGTTTGGAAATTTTTCAAAAAAAAAAGGAAGAAAAATGGGAAGACTGAACATACGCATTCCTCAAACTTAATCTTTTATTTTAGGCAAAATTATAAGGCTTAAGGCTTTGTCTTATCAAAGACAGGCAATTTTGAAAGCAAAATAGAAAAACTCTTCATTTATCATTATTCATTTACATTTTGACAGAAAAGTTAGTTATGTTTTGTTTTATCTTAATAGCAAAAGAAAAACTACCATATACTATAGTCTACCATAGCTATGTCTCTATATATATTAGACTCTAGATGCATCATATTTGGGGTTGTCCAAAATAGCTTTTCTTACAACTGCAATTAATCATGAAAAAATTTTAAGTGAATTAAAGATATTAAAATATAATATTTGATTAATACTAAAAATGAGAAAAATACACATTTCCTAATTTTTTAACCAAGAATAAGCACTTGCTAATCAACTAAAGACAAGATAGCATTTATCTGAAAGCAAAAGCCCATGTGGGAAGAGGCAGATGCCACATGGCTGGGAATTAAAGGAGTCGTTCCTCCCATCATACCCAGGAATCTGGGCAACAATGGGCAGGAAACACTTGATTCTCAAGCGCCATACAGAACAAAAAGAGCACCCAGAAGTGAGAGGAACAGGTGATCCACAGGCCACTGACACCTGGACTAAGAGCTGAGATGGGTTGACAAGACTGGGGTAGAGAATCACCCAAGTGTCCAAAGGTAAGACCAGGAGGTAAGTAAGAAGCGAGGCTGTGACAGCCCTGCACGGAAAAGCAGGCCTCCCAGTTCAGAAGGAACTGCACTTTCAGATCATCTTTGTCATGACCCATGATGCATTTCTACACAGATGGCTTTGTTCACTGTAACACAAATATTTAAATGAAGTACAAGCATATACTCATTTGCATAGCAAATTTTAACAGGTGCACTGAAACAGTAACTAATTGATCTGGTGTAAGTCATTTTTACAATCAGAATGACAAATTGACCAAATAAAATGTTTTCCATTTGAAAACAGTTACTTTAAAAGACTTGTAAAGGTTTTGTAATCTGAGTTAAAACGATACACGACTTAGTGGCAAAGCAGTAAAGCCATTACTGATGCGGTCTCTGTAGCCGGCGCGTGTCACAGTCATTCTTTAATAACTTCTAGAACTTTGTAAACGCTGTTCTGGAACACTGTGTTGAAGTGAGGCTTGGAATCCTTCCCCAGGATGTTACACAGGGGTGTCTTCCCAGCATTGGCTGGATCCTCCACATCCCAGATTTCAGGCATGCTGCACCCAGGCCTAGAGGAGTAAATGCACATGTTACAAGCAGCACACGTTATCCAACCGCAGACAGCACAGAACACTGCCTACGCGCCTCATCTCAGTTCAGCTCTCCTTCTTACATTATATTACATTATATTTTTGAAAATCTTGGAACAGTTACCTTTATTTTTGTAAGCTGTCCCTTTAGGACAAGGGAAACACAGCAACAGGGTGCATAAGGACAGACCTACAGAATACATGTGCTCAGGGACTAGCTAAGACAGCTCACAGCCCTGGAAGCACTGCCTCTGCTACTTGTCCAGAGTGTGTTGTCATAGTTACTTTCCTCAGTTGATTCCCACGTGTGTAAGGGGGAAGATGTCGTACACTGGTTTGCAGTTGGCTCCCATGTGTGTAAAGGGGGAAGATGCCCATGGTTCTGGTTTGCCATGCAGAATGTGCAGATTGAGGGCAGTTAAGGATCTACAACACCAGGTACAGCACATAAAAATAATAGTTTTAAAGATGATAAAATTTGCTTAGTTCACAGGGAAGGTGTAGTCAGTATACTCTGAAATAAATCAATTTAGAGGAAAGCCTTACTGTTACTGTATGAGATGGGCACATCAAAGAAACTGCTAATCACCCACTCCATGGCTTTAACTGTAGGTGAAAGAGAAAAACTATCCGGAGAGAGAAAAGCACTGGACTTGGCCAGGGATATCTGTGAGAGGGGCAAGAACAGCATGAGAAAGACTAGAACAGCATGAGAAAGACTAGAACAGCAACAGTTCCACGGAGCGTAGAGAATAGAAGCTAAGGGAGGAGGGCCAGGGTGCTCGTGTGGACTCTGACATTTACAGCAGGTGAGAGGGGAGCTGTGAGAAGACAGTGGGGACCTGCAGGCCAGCATGGGCCTTGCCATCCAACCGCGTGCATGACAACACAGCCATGAGGCTCTTCTGACAGACCTGAGGGAAATGACTCCTTTTGGCAGATGGGAACCAGTTTCACAAGTCCCCGAGGAACGCCGGCTTTTTAAGACTACTAAAATTCTCCTATAGGCCAGTTTGAACTCATTCTGGATGCATGGACTTCCTGAGACCTGCAGTGGTAAGCTTACATCTTAGAGGAATGAAAAATGAAATTTCAAATACAATGTACTTCTTGCCCCCCTCAAAATCAGGCAGGGTCTCGTTGTGTGGCCTTATACATGCAACCCTCCGACCTCAGAGTCCAAGCCTTCGGGTTACAGGAATACTAGGACTACCTGTGTGCTACCATGCCCAGTCAATAACAAAGTTTATAAAGAACAACAGAAGTAGCTGGGCATGGTGGCGCACACCTTTATTCCTATTACTTGGGAGGCAGAGACAAGCAGATCTCTATGTGTTCTAGGTCAGTATAGGTCTAATACTGAGCTCCAGTATAGCCAGGGCTACCCAGACAGACCCTGTCACAAAAACAAAAACAAAACCTGGGATAAATAAGATTATCAAGTTATATTTTTCTACATAAGTCATCCAAATAATTTCAACATTTTAAATCAAGATCAGATTATGGACACAGTTGCTGTATTCTCATGAAGTTCTTCTATTTTTACTTGCTTTAGAAGATCTTAAAAGAAAAAAGCTAGTGCTGGTGGCACAAGCCTATAATCCTACCTCCGGGATGAAGCAGGAACATCTCAAGTTCAAGGCTAGCCTGAGCAACTTACTGAGATGATATCTCAAAACAAAAAAATGGAAAAAGTGCTGCTTGAATAGCTTATATGTGGCCCTGCATTCATTCCCCAGTATAAACAATACAAAAGAAAGAAAAAGAGAAAAAATAAAATTATAGAAAGTTGACCATGGCTATTTTGTTTGTCAAAGTCTTTTCCTCCCTCCTTCTTTTCTTCCCTCCCTCCCTTCCCTTCCTCCTTTTTTCTAATGGGAAGAAAGCATTTCGAGGAAGTCTAAGCTCCATTCATTCCTATCCTCTGTGACTTTCTGGCCAAACACTCACCACTTGCCAGGTGCATACATTAGCCTTGAATATCACTTCTCAGAGCACTGTTTACAACATGAGCATCTAACTATCCTGCTGGAGCTTTGATCCATGTTCCCACTCACATACACTATAGACAGGGCAGTTCTGGGTTGCTTTCAGGAAACTGGGGACATTATGGGATCCACAACAGTACAATTTGGCTATTTTCTAGATCTTGCTACACAAACAGCCATTTGCACCTCTTCACAGCTGCTAGTTCTGACCTGTGCATTACAGAAGGACTGTCTCATGGGTTGCACACTTTGCTGCCGTAAACCAACACCATACTTCTGTAATTGAAATGTTCACTGTGTCCAATACATAATAATTTTTTTACTTTGCTACCATCAGACTAACTGTCAAAGAACCTACCAGTGATAGCACTCACATAGAGGTCCCATTGCATCTTTTTGAATAGATCCATTAATAATAAATGCTACAAGCATTATTTGTAATAGCCAGAACCTGGAAACAACCTAGCTGCCCCTCATCCGAAGAATGGATAAAGAAAATAGTACATTTATACATTAGAGTACTACTCAGCGGTGAATAAAAATGACATCTTGAAATCTGCGTGCAGATGGATGGAACTAAAAAAAAAAAAATCCTGAGTGAGGTAACCCAGACCCAGAAAGATGAACATGGTATATACTCATTCATAAGTAGGTACTAGCTGTAAAGCAAAGGCTATTGAGTCTATAGTTCATGATCCTAGAGAAGCTAAGTAACAAGGTGAACCCTAAGAAAAACATACCTGAAAAAGGGAAATAGACAAGATCACCTGAGAAAATTGGGAGCATAAGGGTGGGAGAAGTAAGGAGGGCAGAAGGGGAAGATAAGGGGAGAAGGGAAGGGAGAGGAAAACCTGAGAGAACAGGATAGTTGAGATGGAGAAAGGACAGAGATGAGAGCAAGAAAAGAGATATTTTGATTGAGGGAGCCATTATGGGGCTAGCAAGAAACCTGGCACTAGAGAAATTCCCAGGAATCCACAAGGATGACCCCAGCTAAGACCCTAAGCAATAGAGGAGAGGGTGCCTGAACTGGCCTTGCCCTGTAGTCAGACTGATGAATATCTTAACTATCACCATATAGAACCTTCATCCAGCAACTGGTATAAACAGAGGCAGAAACCTCCATGGGAGCACTGGACTGAGCTCCCAAAGTCCAGATGAAGAGCGGGAAGAGAGAGAATATGAGCAAAGAGGTCAAGACCATGATGGGTTCACCCACTGAAACAGTTTACCTGAGCTAATAGGAGTTCACCAACTCCATCCAGACTGGGAAGGAAACAGTATAAGTCCAAACTAGTCCCTTTGAATGTGGTTGACATCTGTATGGCTGGGGCAGACTGCGGGGCCACTGGCAGTGGCACCAGGATTTATCTGGACTGCTTGTACTGGCTTTTTGGGATCCTATTCTCCTTGGATGGATACCTTGCTCAGCCTAGATATAGTAGGGAGGGCCTTGGACCTTCCCCAAAGCAATATGCCTTTCCTCCTCTATGAGGAGTAGATGGGGGAGGGAAGGGGGGAATGGGAAGAGGGTAGGGAATGGGAACTGGGATTGGTATGTAAAATGAAAAGAGATAGTTTTTTCTCTTTTAAAAAATAAATAAAATACTAAAAAAAAAAACAGATGCTACAGAGCTGAAGACCTAGAACAGTGGCTCTCAACCTATGGGTCTCACGACCCTATGAGGGCTATTGAATGACTATTTCACATGGTCGCCTAAGACCATCTGAAAACACATATTTATATTACATTTCTTAACAGTAGCAAAATTATACTTATGAAGTAGCAACGAAATAATTTTATGGTAGGTAAGGGTAGCAGCAGTAGGAAGGTTGAGAACCACTGACCTAGAACAATAAGGCTAAGATTGTGGTTTCCAAACCAAAATGCTCATGCACACATCAAAGCTGAACTGTTACCACACTTGGGGTGGAGGAGAACATGACAACTAAGAGTTCAAAACCTACTCTGGGTTTTCCAGAGATCAGCATCCTAGAGAAAAGTGAAGGGGCAAAGATCTGGCTTATAGCCCCATCTGCCTCTGTATCACCTACTACTTTTATTCTGCAAGTCTCCCTAGTGACCAGTACCATCTTTCAATGGCATTTGTAATGCGGGACACAGTGGTGGATGTCCATTAACCCTGGATCCCCAGAAGGCTAAATTAGAAACATCAGTTATGGACAGTTCAGGGCCAGGGTTGGACAACAGAGTCACACCTGTTATCAAAAGAAAAACAGCATCAGTGAGAACCTGTATACGTCCTCTTCAATATAAGTACTTTAAGTTTATTCTAATTAGAATTAAAGGTAGTTTTCTTTGAAAACGTAAGTTTATAAAAACTCATCTACAATTGCCTATTTAAAAATGGGTATTTTTAGTTTAAGGCAATATACACATGCATATCACTATTTAAAAGTATATTTCTAAAATGAGTAAAAGGTCTAATTTAAATAATTATGTATATGATATTGACTCATACTTTTGAAATGTTTTATTTTATATATATTATACCATGCACTACTAATAGAACTCTTGCTATGAGCCTACACTAACTTTTTAGTCTTTTGATTATAAGCTATTAATTGTTTGAAATACTCACTTGGATCTTCTTATACACCATGACTCTTCTAGAATGTAGTAATTCACTTTTAATTTCATCAATTCCTTCTTCACATCTTCAGCTGCTTTTCGGCTATACATCGAATAAACAATTTTTGTTCTGGCTCTTCAAGAAAAAAAATAAGTAGGCAAAATTTTTTTTTTCAAGATTAAAAGGATCCAATCAACATTATCGGGAAGCAAGCAAGGGATGGGAACAAGCACACCCCAGAGCAGGAAGGAGGTGAGAGCACCTTGGAGAAGCCAGGGTGAGATTACAACTGGAAGCCGACATAGCCTCTAATGCAAGCCACATTTCCAAACTCAGTCTCCTCGTGGTTCACCTGTTTCTAATTGTCAGCAGACAGGGCTGAGAGCAAACACGCCAGCACTGCTGGAAAGGGGCAACAGCTCAGCCCACAAATCCCACTTGACTTCTACATTTAAGAAAAACTCACTCTATGAAGTTGCTTTGGAAATTAGCTCATTGAAATTGATTTTTTAATGAAACGCATTTTATTTATAAAATGTATATTTCATCATTATGCAAAACAATATACTAATAGCATTAATCTGATCATTTGGAAAATGAATACTTTATCTCCTCTAGAAAGTATATTGATATTAAATCTTCACCTCTTAGGAGAATACAAGGCATCATTTATGGGAAAAACAAGCCTTATCCCATCAGAAAATATCTAAACTCATCACAGCAAATAGCTTCATGACAGCAGAGCAGAAACCCCACCGAATGACTCTCCTCCGACTCCTCAGATGTCGCGAGAAAAGCCTGTAAGGAGTCAGCATCACTAGAAGCCTTACACCAGTGTCAGACAAAGCTGAGGACAGCATGAGGAGGCCTGGCTATCTTGGACAACTGCTCAGATTGCTTTTCCTTCTGCTGAATAGGAAACAGCACAAAGACAACAGCTTTACTGAAGCCCCAAAGGCTTTAGCCCAGCTGTCTTATTTCAGCATCTTCTTCCCTCCCAATGAACGACTCTGAAATGCCCCCTTTTTTTTATTTAAATTTATTTATTCATTAAGGATTTCTGCCTCGTCCCCACAACCGCTTCCCATTTCCCTCCCCCTCCCCCGATCAAGTCCCCCTCCCTCATCTGCTCGAAGAGCAATCAGGGTTCCCTGACCTGTGGGAAGCCCAAGGACTGCCCACCTCTATCCAGGTCTCGTAAGGTGAGCATCCAAACTGCCTAGGCTCCCACAAAGCCAGTACGTGCAGTAGGATCAAAAACCCACTGCAATTGTTCTTGAATTCTCAGTAGTCCTCATTGTCCGCTATGTTCAGCTAGTCCGGATTTATCCCATGCTTTTTCAGACCTAGGCCAGCTGGCCTTGGTGAGATCCCAATAGATCATCCCCATTGTCTTAGTGTGTGGGTGCACCTCTCGTGGTCCTTTTGACCCTGTCTGCTGTGAAACTCTGGTGGGTTCCTCACTCACTATCTGGATGAAGCCCTTTCCCCATGCACCTGTGCACTAACCTCAGACCTGCATCTTCATAGTGTGGGTGGTTCACCACGGGCCGGAGAGCAGAGAGTTTCACACTTGCCATGGTGGGCATGGCGCCTGCAAACACTGCATCTGGAAGCAATGGCATGGTCTGGCATTACACTGGGCAGCACCAGTAGGGGTTTCAATCAAGACAGCCCAGCTATTTCACACGTCACACAGCTGGCTGGGGCCCAGGGAGATTCACAAGATTCAATGCCAGCAGCAGAATGAAGCCAGGAGGCCGACAGAGTACAGATCTGCAGCCAGGCTTGGGGAGCAGGTTATCAGCACCGAAGAGCGCTCATCACCTTCCCTTTCTTTCCCTTTCCTTCTTTAGTCCACTGGAGAACAATATCCAACTGACTGGAAAGTTTGAAAGACACTTTAAGAGTCAACCACTTCAAACTGGGACAGTAAGTTTCCATAGGGTCACATGGATTAAACAGCGGGTCACCAGTAAGAGGAAATGGGAAGGCTAATATTGAAATTCTATTAAGGAAGGAAACATAACAAAATTATGCTAAATATAGCACCTACAACTTTGGAAAACTTTTATAGATTTAAATTTCTGGAAATGGCAAAATAAATTACTAAGGTTATATAGCATCCCTGCAAGTCATGTAGCCAGTAGTGACAGCTCCTTTAAACCCCGGGTAGGATTTTGTGGTGACATAAAATTATGGAGTAAAAAGAATCCTAGCGAGATAAAAAAGCAACAGGTGTTGTTGCTCTTTTTACCTGGCTTTGTGCTGTATCTGATCCATTCTATGAGCTCTTCTTGAGGTAAATTGCTGAACTCCCCTACAATGTTCCACTGGGTTTGCAGGTTTGCTGAGCCTTGAATCGACATCGCTGCTAGCACAGCGAACACAACAGTACCAGGGTGAACTTTGCCAAAGAGCCACCCAAAGAGCTGAAATCAAAGTGAAACACTGGTCACTGGCAGTGCAAAGCAGTATGTTCCAGTGAGAAAACCATCCTGAGGAAGAACTCAACCTCTGCTGTGGTCCCACGTATGGACTGTTGAAAATGTAATTTTATGATCATGGCTGTGGGAGGAGACAGAGGTTAGAAAACAACCTCAGTGGAGTCAATTCTCTCCTTCCACCTTAGGTGAATTCCAGGGACTGAGCTCGGGTCACTGTGCTGGCATCAACACCTTTACCCACTGCGTCATCTGGCTGGTCCAGAGAGCAGTCCTTCAGCATCCAAACAATTCTACCCAAGAGGGACACAGCATCAGAAGCACTGCAGAAGAGCCAGGTCACCTGCTTCCTTTACAAGGCCCAGTCAAAGAAAAATGAGCACCCATTTCTAAGTGAGTCCGGGACAGGCTAGGGACACAGCTCAGGAGCCTGGGCTTGGTCTCCAGCACCACAGCAGGAGCAAGCTTAAGCCAGTGCAGAGTTCTAAGTTCGGAACATGGTGGAGAGACTGTTACCTGTCCCATTAATGCGATGGGAGTCAAGATGGAGGACTTTCTTTCCTGTCCCAACCCAGTCTAAAGGGAGGAAAATGAGGGAGATGGGAGCCTGGAACCCAGAAAAGCAACACACAATAAAGCAACAGTGCTGTCCACTGCTCTCTTCCCGGGCATCTCCTGACTAACCGGGCACTGGATCTCAAGCTTCTGGGGAGCAGACACACAGTTTGATTTTTCTGAGCTGGTGCTTAGTAAATGCTCGTTGCAGGTAACATAGGTGATGCTTCTGCACAGCCTCTTTGCTGATTGACTGTCAGGTAGCAGCAGCACAGAGGAGCGAACATCTCTACCCACAATTATATGACAAATAGTGAATTACACGTGGAATAGTCAAGGATGATTACACTTCAGAGCAAAATCGGGCACGTCTATACAAATGCACACACAACAAAAAATATTCCAAAACTTGATTCTGAATAAGACAATATAATCTGAAAGATAACTTGAAATCCACTTTTAGAAATTATGTGATATAAAGATTTAAAACTTTCTATGGTTGAGCTGTATTTTCTACCGGTGCCTGTAGTGAGAACGGATGGAGCCAGGCTGCGCTGATTGCACTTGTTTGCTGAAGACAGTGTCTCAAGGCAGAAGAACCGACATGAGCAGCTCGGGCCCTTAGGTTAGGAAGCTGCAACAGAACCAGAGCTCCAGTGGTCAGGAGCTACAGAAACCCTTCGGTCAGCACTATCTTAGGGCCACTGAGTAGCTAAGGCTGGGCTAGAACTCACCATCACCACACGTTACCTGTCTGGAGCAGATCAAGGACGCCATGACACACATGTGTGGTGTCAGGAAGAGCTTCAGTCTCATGATCAGAACCCCGAGGGCTGTGTATGCCAACAGCTGCAGAGCATGGTAAACCAACTGAAGGGAGGGAAGACAAGGGCTCATTTCTACCATTTGCCAAATTAGGAACATACTCTTAATCTGGACATATAGAAATGATTTCTTAAATGATTCTTCCTATGTGGTATTTTTATTAATTCTTTGAGAAGTTCAAAGAAGGTGTTTTGAACACAATCATTCTCAACACTTCCACTAGGGTCCTCTCATCTATGTCCCCAAACTCTCCACACCTTAACTTTGTGTTTTTCTTTAGAATAAACAAACAACAACAACAAAAAACTCAGAGTCCATTTATGCTTCCCGTACATACACACATCCCCCCTCCCTCCCTCTCATGGTTGCAGACCATCCACTGGAGCACTGTGGACCTACCACATCTTTAAAGAAAACTGATCCTCCTTCCCTTAAAAGCCACCAGCTGTCAATAGCTCCTCAGTTAGGGGTAAAGGCTCATAAGCCCCACCAGTCCATGCTAGAATGCAGACTGAAGACTGTCTTGTGCAGCTGACCACACTGTTGTAAGGTCATGAGTGTGACAGTCCGGTCATCTCCAGAAGCAGGTCCAGTCCTCCTTGACCCCTGAATCTTATACTCCCCATCCCCCATCTTGGGAGCTGGGCTTGGTAGGGGGAGGGGCCATACAGACACCACATGAGGGGCTGAGCATTCTCCTGATGTTTAGTCTCTGCACTCTGGTGAGAACTGAGACCTGCCTCAATCTATGGGTATAAGACCCTGTTAAAATGTGCTTGCAGGTGGCACCATTTTAACAACCTGAATTGAGAGAGCTACTGAGTCAGGCATCTGTGTAATTGTACTCATAGTCCCACCTGCAGTTAACACAGCCAGATTTCTGGATCTACCTTGTTCCTGCCATCAGACCAAGGCACGGAAGTGGTCAGGGGAATAAAGGTCACTGCCACCCAACCACAGTGCTCTGTGCTGGGCTGTGTGGAAACTGCTCAACTCAGGAAGGTAGGAACAGAAGCCAGCCACACCTCTGAAGCTTCAGGACAAGGTGGGCGGAAAAAAATGTGGCATTCCACCAAGCAAAAACACCTTGTACTTGTACCTCACTGCGCTCCAGAAACTGCTATTACTGTAAGGCTTACTCACAGACCAAAGTCTTTAACATTTCAGCAAAAGAGGTACCCAATCAGCCTGTAACATTCCCACAAAAAAGTAGATAAATTAATGACAAATGCCAATAAACTTAGATACTAGCTCTGCAAAACAAAGTCCATATATATATATATATATATATGTTAAATATTTACCTCTCCGTGATCAAATTGGTGTTTTCTGAAATGGAAAAACAACCAACTCATTACTGAGGCACTCGCTCCCTTTATTTGTACTTTTATCTCCACATATGAGCTTTTAACAACTTCTATAATATTCCTCCCACATACATATAAGTAAATGAAAATAACTAAAAGTTTTATCCCAATACTAGTATACAACCATGTAAGACAGTTTATTTGAAAAATGACAACGTGTGTCTGACTAGGTACACATTTACTATGGCAATAATCATATGGTGTACACCCCAGCTCACGTGAGGCGTTAAGTGACGAATTCTCCTCAGACTTAGCCCATGCACCTGCTTTGTCCCCTGGTGAACCCTGAGTTCTTTGTGCTAGTGCTGCACCAGAGATGGCAGGGCCACGGCAGTCACGTGCACAGTCTTCTCAGGCAGACAACAAATCCGCCCTTGGCTTTGTTTGAACATTCTCCTTTTTTTTCCCTGGATATGTGCTTAGAGACTGACAAGTCCCGCCCTCATCTTTCCCTGCCCATCATCAATTCTCACAGTAGCAAGAAGAGCAGTTATAAAAAGGGCCAGTCAGCCACCTACTCCTTTGCTTCAAAGTCTAAAATGGATGAGGTTCCTCTGCAATGCTGACTCTCAATTCACCATCTGCAACATAACTCCTCCAGGGCCCCACTTCTCTCCCTGCACAGCTACCTCCTCCTTGTTCTCTCCTGAGTGCAGTGACCTGGTCACAGGCTAACTGACCCCTCAAGCCACCAGGAAAGCTTGTATCGTACCAGCGCCCACCCCATGGTCATGCCTATCGCACTGCCCTTCTCAGAGGAGACAGAATTCACACTTGTATTTTGCATATCACTTCACTTGCCCTTCCACATTAAAATGAGACAGACCTGCAAGAGACCAGGGTACAGATCTATGGATCTATCCATCCACCTTTTCAAGCCTTGAGTACTGAACACTCAGGAGATAGAGGGTTGACAAAACAAAACAATCCTTATCCTCTCAGTTTACATATAAGTCAAAGGGAAAACATGGGGTGGGATAAGACTCTGTCTCACAGTGACCAGAACTGCAGAGAAGATGTAGACACATGAGTGCCCCGAGAGGCACCTGATCCTCAGGCTCACCACCCCTGAATGATATCTGAGTGGGTTCAGAGATGGGAGAGACCGGGGGGCCCAGTGGGCAGTCCAGTGTAGGGAGGTTCTGCTGGGCCAGCCATGAAGACAGTGTGCTTGAAGAAGAGAGAAGGCAAAGACTAAGAGAGGAGTAGTTGGTGTGAGGTGAGGGGTTAGAGGCAGAGTCAGAGAGGCAATGGTGATACAGAGCTAAGTATGGGAAGAGATAACCATAAGTCTGGATAGAATTCTAAATATGATAATTACAAGATCTGCATACTGTTTGTATATGGACCTATGAGCAGAATCAAAGCTTATAGCTTCTAAGACAAGATGCTGAGGGATGGAGGGGTCTGATAGGAAAAGACAGGACTGGAAATTTTCTGATAGAGAATTCCGAGCTGTTCCCAAGGCTTGAACACAGATGAACATCTATACCAGTGATCATCCTCGCCAACCTAGGCAGAACACAATCTAATTTGGAAATCTAGTCTCAAAAGATGTGGATGCAAAGATTTCAACAAATGCACTGGTCAAGTGTGAAGAGGTGGAATGTGCCTTCTTCATTCATTCCAAGCAAAAACCCACTCTCCATTTCCTGAGCACCCCTCACAGTATTAACAGGCTACAGTTGCCCACAGATGGCATGGAAGCCAAGCCCAGTACTCCCGTCAGCCAAGTCTGCACCCAGGATGACCTCCAGGCTGAGGCAGTCTCTCCATGGGCCATGGCTACTCTTCTCTATCTTCAGGGATTGAATAGAACACTTAATGGTGTTCACATCCAAATTAAAACGTGCCTTTTTCTCTTCCCTGCTCTATTTTCTAATGGCCCAACTTTTGTTCTCATGTAAATGAGATGTCAACATACCATTCCTTTTTCCACAGGGAGCTTCAGCCCTGCTGAACTGAAACCACGAAGCTTGGGTTTTCTGAACCCTCTGTAGCAAAGCTGTTCTTCAGGAGCACTTCTAGTTTCCTATGAAAAGTTCTACTTTCCTTTTCCAGAGTTGTACACTATGGTTCTAACTTGGAGGCTTCTCCAAACGCTTCTAAAAAAATTACCTCAGATGAATTGAAATTTTGACATTCTATACTAGAAACATTTCCCCTTTCCTGCCTATCCATGCAGGAACAAAGAAGGCATAGTTATAGACAACTATTTCTAAATGACACAAAAGACTTTGCCGTGTGTTAGCAGAGCTCTGGAGCTAAGGGAATGGTAGAAAGGGGAGGATACTCAAGTTATAAAAGAAAATGAATGCACACACAGCTTAACAGTATAGCTGTCATATATGTATATTGTTTGGCTTTTGAAAAAAAACGATATACGATTGAACTATTTTCTATCTATTTTTTTATTTTTTTAATAAATTTACTTATTTATTAAAGATTTCTGTCTCTTCCCCGCTACCCAATTCCCTCCCCCTCCCCTAGTCAAGTCCCCCTCCCTCCTCAGCCCAAAGAGCAATCAGGGTTCCCTGCCCTGTGGGAAGTCCAAGGAACCCCCACCTCCATCCAGGCCTAGTAAGGTGAGCATCCAAACTGCCTAGGCTCTGGAACTCACCAAGGCCAGCTGGCCTGGGTCTGAAAAAGCATGGGCTTGAACTATTTTCATAAAGATGGTAAAGCACTTCACTTTATACCTGGACTGTAATTTCATTTTGTACTAATACATATTTTGACCATGCTAACTTTCCACATTACATGTAACACCGTACCCACTGTCTCCATTCATGTGAACACTTCCACAGCAAGTACCTGTACTCAGGGAACTGCTGACTTGAAGAGCAGGCCCACTGTATGGCTTCCTGCCTCAGCCAACTATAGCCCATTTCTCCCAGTTGTGCAAGCACTGAATATTAATAATCATTACTAATCTGGTAAATAGAAAGACTTTCATTTTGTTCAAAATGTCTCAATCACCAAGACTGTAGGCCTTTCTGAGCCTCTAGGTGTCAGTTGTAAATACTCACCCTTTCAACCATCACTCTTTCCCATTGGCTATGGAAAGAGCAGGAAAGAGCAGGCTACAAGGAATGTAAGAAACCAATTATGGGCAAAGGGTTCAACTCCTGCAAAGCCCAGAGTCAGGGACAACTTACCATCATTAAAGGGCACAAGAAACTTTCCAGGGGCATAAGTGTGGTGGAGAGGGAAAAGGTAAACTCACTCTTCCTTTGGTTCCCTTTTCTGAGTCTTCAATTCACTTTCTAGTGTGTCTGAACACGTTCCTATTAATTCTTCTAGGTTCTTTATATGTCCTTGGCTGATGTGGGAGTGTCATATATCAGTCTGTTGATTTCATTGGGTAAGCAATAAAGAAACTGCTAGGCCCATTTGATAGGCCCACCCTTAGGTGGGTGGAGTAAACAGAACAGAAGGCTGGGAAAAAGAAGCTGAGTCAGAGAGTCGCCATGATTCTTCCACTCCAGGCAGACACAGGTTAAGATCATTCCTGGTAAGCCAGCTCTTGGGCTACATAGATTATTAGAAATGGGCTAGTCCAGGTGCGAGAGTTAGCCAAGAAAAGGCTAGATATAATGGGCCAAGTGATGTTTAAAAGAATACAGTTTCCGTGTAATTATTTCGGGTAAAGCTAGCCGTGGGGGTGGCCGGGTGCGGGGGACGCAGTCCGCCGCTCCTTATTTCAACACTTGGCTGTCATCAGTCCTGAGTCACATATGAATATTTCCTGTAACTGTCCTTTTCCTTTCATAATACTTCTAACAACTTCTATCAAACAAGTACTTCTGGCTGATGATGTCAACCTTCCCGGCATGTAAGTGCTGCATCCTGCTGAAAAGACCTGTGACTTCTTCAATTACAAGTACCTCTCTTTGTAAATTTCTAGGTACATTTGGTTGCCTATGTTTCAAAATTGCTTAATAGGGAAGTTAAGTTAAAAAAAAACGAGGAATAGATCTAGTTTTATATTTCCCTGTTTATTTCTCAAATATGAGAATCTATTGGTCTCCATACAGAATAATCAATTTTCTCTGCTGAACTGGCAAAGTCATGTCCCCCTAGGAAAGAGGATGTGGGTATCATGGTCAGATGTTGTAATACGAGGAGTGGGGCTGCGTCTGCCACCCGGCTAGCTATACCTGAAATAATTACACAGAAACTGTATTCTTTTAAACACTGCTTGGCCCATTAGTTCCAGCCTCTTCTCGGCTAACTCTCGCACCTGGACTAACCCATTTCTAATAATCTGTCTAGCTTTTATTATTATCTGAGGTGGCTTACCAGGGAAGATCTTAACCTGCATCTGTCTGGAGTGGGAGAACCATGGCGACTGCCTGATTCAGCTTCTTTCTCCCAGCATTCTGTTCTGTTTACTCCGCCTATCTAAATTCTACCCTATCAGAGGACCAAACAGTTTTCTTTATTACTTAACCAATGAAAGCAACAGATAAGATACAACACCCACCTCCATCAGTCAGACTTCTCTGGGTGAACTCTGACAGGTGCACACAGAGAGGAAGGTGGAATGGTGCTAATGGAAAACACCACGTATGAAGTGTAAAACATGTAAGCACACAAGTAAATACTGCAATAAACAGTCAACAGTGGAAGTAAGAAAGTTAAGTGCATATTTACCTTAGATGTGTCTGTTGTTTAGCCATGACACCCCAAATATCACTAATAATCTGAAAATGGATTTTAAAGACTTTAGAAGAGCTGTTATAAAGAAAACAGATATCAAGACTCTTAACAGAAATATAAGAAGTACAGAGATAAGAGACAACTCAGAAAATAATAATTTCAACATTATCTGTACTACCACAGTCCTTGATGGTGATACTTAAAGCATCCTGTTAGGAAAATTACAATGCCCCATTTAGGATGTGGGCAAAAGGCTCAAAAGGATGAAATGACCTTCCTGAGGGGACAAACATTAAGAAGCACTGCTGGTCCTGACACTCCCGCTCCTTCCCTATCATGGAGGTGGTGGACACAGACACAGAACTGTAGAAGTGGCTCAGACACAGCAGCTTGCACACACCCTAGTTAAACCCTTGGAGGAACCACTGGGCTGCTGCCCAGGCTCTTCTACTCTCCTGATTGGTCTTAGCATTTCCGGCCAAAAATCCTATCAATGACCATATTTCCAAGGTACCAAAAGGAACATAGTCATAATTTCCAAATGGTGGGCTTTTAAATATTTGAAAATAATTTCCCAGCTTCTACTTGAATCTTTGCTCTTCAAATTAAACAGTGCGGCTTCATTCATCTGACCTACTATATTTCATCACATCTTGCCATCAAAGCTGCAGTTTTTTGTTCTGTTTTATTGGGCAGAGTCTCATCTTATTGTGTAGCTCTAGCTGGCCTAGAACTCAGTACACAGACCAGAATAGTCTAGAACCCACAGATATCCATCCACCTGCCTCTGCCTCCCAGGTGCAATGATTAAAGGTGTAAGCTATCATGCCTGGTCACTGCAGTCTTTGGACAGGTTCTTGATGGTCAGAATCTGGTCATTTTTGAGGATAATTATGTATGAATCACAGGTCATCCCAAGTACAGATGGGGTGCAGAACCTGGCATACAACGAAACTGAGTAAAGTGACAGAAGCCGAAACAAGTGGAGTCCAAAGCTGAGGGCCAGCAGGTGTCTGTAGGAGAGGGCTAAGATTGAGTCTAGTGAGACAATGGGCACGAAGGGAGCTACTAACGTCCTTCATCTTCCAAGGCAGTGTCTGTTTACTCCATGGGGCACTGGCTGAGTGACATATCCAAATATGCTATGGGGGAGTACGAAGCACAGTACAAATACAACGTGAACAGTAATCACAGAACAGAATATCCCACAGATAAATACACTGTGTTATCACAAATCACTAGAGATCAATAAATTGCGAGGCTTTGGCATCTCTTCTTCGATTGCACGCTAAGCTCATCTCTTAGGTCTCATGTAGTTACAGCCTTCACAAGCTACTTAAGAAACAGTTGCACGCCGGCTTTTCTTCATAGAAGACTGGTATTTCTCAGGCCTAGTTTACACAAGGGCTTAGAATTTCATTATCAAAGGAAACTTGGAGCCTGAACATGTTATCCACTTCATCAATACACTGCACTTCCCCAATTCCTCTTTTTTTATTAATAATAAATCTCATTCAAAAGTAACAGAAAACTGCTCATATATCATATAAAAAGTTAAATATTAAATATTTTAGAAATATTACTCAACATTAAAATCCAGTCAATAATAGACATGACTTCTAAAATACATGATCAGGAACTAAACTGTTCTTTCCTGGGTCTATTTTAGGCTAGCAGGGAGCAGAATATCTTTAAGATCTGTAAGCACTCATCAAAGGCCATCAGTAAGAAAATACAGAATGTTTCGAAAACTCAGTATAAAACTATCCTATTATTGTGTAGCCAAATATTTCTAACTACTATACAAAAACAAGAACACGTTTAATTCTGAGAAGTATCCTGCGGCACGCGCACCTTTTTGACGATTGCAGCAAACACGATGAGAACAACAGGAAGCAGCAGTGTCTTTGTGTATCTCAGTGGAGTCTAAAATTGAAGGGTATTTGTGAGAAGGAAATGTTTTAATCAAACAAAACTTCTTTTCAAATGAAATGGCTGAATTTCTAGAAGCATAGGTAGAGAAATACAAATATTCATCAACCAAAGAGGCCAACCTATCTACTGACTCCCATCACTGAAACTAAAGCACGTTTCCATAGAAACACATTTCACCAATGCTGAGTTGAAAACACTAAAAATACAGTTTGCAAAACTCGCATGAAAGACAACTATAGATTCTTCTCTTCACACACTTTGTCTAACTGAAGACTCACTATTCATCCTAAGCACAGTGATTATTTACAGGGAAGAAGCTCCGTATACATTTTATGTATATTCTTAGCCACTGCATTTCTTTTTCTAACACACAAATGTACACGATAAATTCATAGAAATGTATTTAGTAACACAGTCCTGTGAGCTTCTCAATTATGTCCCACTCGAGGCCCGGTCAGGATGCTGCTCTTTCACTTTTGTGAGTCGATCACAGGTAAGGTCTTCTTTACTCTGTTACACATTTCAAGCATCTTTCCAGGTCAGTCTGGAATTGTGTTACACTCCCTCAAGTGACAGACACTCAGCTGCCTGGCAGCACTGTCCCTAAATCCAGATACACATGGAGACAGGAATATATACAGGAGCCAGACTTTCTGTTTAAGCTGAATGGAGTCATGCCATGCCTCAGTACACAATATATCTCACTAGATGGACAACGACCACTCGGGGGTTACAGAAGCAGGCATGACGATCTCTGTAGTCTCTGGGCCTTCTACAACATATCACTTTTCTGCTTATCTTCACCTCTATTTTCCTTACCACTTTCACGAAGGGTCTAGATTTCCTCTAAACCGATATCTAAAGACATTTTTCCTTTGATTTTTTCACTATCATTTGTTTAGTTTTTATCAGCTATTATGAATCAACAGCATAAATAGGATAAATGAAGACCAAGATGCAGTTGAAGTCATCAAGGTACACCTGACTAAGAACAGATAAGTCTACACTGAAGGCTGCTGGCCTGGCACTTGGGACACAGAATTACCATAGTGGGAGAACTGGAGCAATGAATATGTCAATTAAGTAATGGTCAGTTTAGTGCATTCCTACAGATATAGCCTTAGAGGAAAGTGTATCATGTGTAAACAGCAATAAAGGAATTCAACATGGATGGGGATTCTGAGGCTAATATACACATGCTTGTTGAAATAAACTACCTCAAGAAGTATTGAAATAATATTTCACTTAAGAGATCAAAGTACTTTAGTATGTGAAATCTCATTTTATCTTCACAGTATCTGTTTGCTGTATACTACTAGAAGCTAGTAGACTTAACACAACGAGTAAGATGTGTTCGTTCAAGACCATTCATTCCCACTGCAAGATGCTGTCCCACAAATCACTACCCCACTCTCAGGCTTTCCCATAAACATCAAATATCTGAATCAAATTTTCAACAGAGAAATGTCAGCTATGAAAAACTTGTGCTTAATGATATTTAAATGCAATGAGATCATTCGAATATCCATACAGTAAGTGGAAGCGTACGAGCCTGAGAGCCTGACTGAGCGGTGGAATGCTGTCTCTGAAAAGAGGCTATTGGAAATGCCTGTGCTCACTCATCCAAGCACTGTGGCCATTGTGAATGCATACTTGCAAATTATCAACACGGAAAAGGTCATAAATAAATATAAAATGGGAAGGCTTGCATTAGGTTGCTGGACTTCTTTCTCTAAACGAAGTGTGGACCTGAAACAGCAGGGCACGCTTTGTGAAAAAGAAAAGGGTTGAAGTCCAGGGAACAACACTGGAAATCAGAGCTTACCTCCCTTTCCATGAAGTCAAACTCTGCTGCACAAGTATATAGTAAGGTATCAAAATCCTTGTAACTAAAGAATTTTGACGTTAGTAAGTTCCCAATATGAGCCTAGAAAGAAATCAAGTCAGGAATCATTATACTAAACCAAACATCACAATTATGCATTGCGTTTTAATCTTAAGAGTATCTAAAAATAGTTTTCACTGTATGAAAAAGTCCATTGTTCCAAATCTGGGCTTTTATGTTAAAGAAAGTTCTGTTCTGTTCCTCCAAACTCACAGCTGCGTCCCCTGTTCTGCCAGCAAGTGACAGCTCCCAAAGCTTCCTACCAATGTCTACTACCCGCCCACTCAATGCCCAAGGCTTTACCCTTGAGTTTTTCTACTCGTGGTGCTAAACCTGGAAAAAAACAGTTCCCCAGCCCCACCTTGCTCTCCCCCAGGAGGAATGAGCCTAAGAACTCTTAAGATTTCTGACAACCACATAGGAAGCCAGGTCTGGAGGACAGAGGGGAGGCTGAGTCCGAATGTGGGAAGGGACTTAGCAGACAGTTTAAAGGCAGCAGGCACAGAGGAACTGGCATAAAAGTCACCTTCTGACAGACAGTCAGGAAGGGCTTGTGTGCCATCCCACTCTATAAACGAGAAAGGAAGGCTTGAGGGCATACGATGTTCACCAAACTTTCAAGTTAACTATTATCTAAAACAGCAAAGTCGAGGAGAAGAGGCGATTTTGCCTATGGTCTCGGATCACAGGGGCTTGTGAGAGTGGAGCAGGAAGGATGGGGACTGTGATGACGCAAAAGCTGTGGAGAGAAGAGGCAGGCGGATACACTTAGGAAGCTGGAAGGGTGGTTATGTGGCCCCTGAAACGGCCCAAGGAAACAAATCCCAAATAAAATGAAGAAAAATTTCCTACCAAAAGGCAACTGCCATTTACACAAAGAGCTTAAATTATCTAATTAGAGGGCAGATGCCCAAACTGACTTAAGGGAACAAATACAATATTATGTTGTTTACAAAAGATAAACCACACCAAAGCATAAAAAAAAAATAAACAACATAAGTTTGAAACAAAATCCTAGGGTAGCAGCCATGGAATCTCACAGAACTAAGTTCAAGGGCCGGGGAGATTCAGGAAAAGGAACTTGCCATGAAAACTGATGAACAGAGTGTGGTCCCAGACCACAGTGGAAAGAAAGAATCCTCCCACCCCTGCCGCTTCCCTGAAACATACTAATGAAATATAAAATTCAAGACAAAAACAACACAGCGATTCAGGGAAACCTGTGAAAAGACAATACTATATGCTGGTGAGCGAAGAGCAAAGCCGACGACACATCCTGCATGTGGACTACTACAGAGAGCCACGCGTGTGGACTACCACAGAGAGCCACGCGTGTGGACTACCACAGAGAGCCACGCGTGTGGACTACCACAGAGAGCCACGCGTGTGCCTATGAATCTGACAGCAGTAGAGGGGCAAGAGAAGATTCAACATAAATTAGCATAATATAATTAGTCCATAAATAAAGACTATAAACTTTACAGGAAGAACATACACATTTTCCTTAAGCACAGTAAAAAAATTAAGTATTTATATGTAGCATGTCATATTAGCATGTTGAAACTGCATATAAATTTTTTAATCATAAAAGCAGTAAAACTAGAAAATATCTGGGAATGGCTTCGGCAGTCCTTCTGACTGGAAACTAAATAGGCCAAAATTCAATAACCTTTAGATCAAGCAGAAAGTCACAAAAAGCAAATTTATAAGGTATACAAAAAGCACTACTTTCAGGAATCATTAAGACAAATTTACCAGAAAATAAGAGTGGTAAAAGCAAAAGGATCACACATTTTCCTATGTGCTTGATCTTACAAATGGACTCTATAAAATTAATCTCAAAAGAAGAGCGGTTACAAAGGGGGTGGGAGAGGATGATGTGAGGGGAGGTGGTCGGAGGACACACAGTTACGGTTAGGTAGGAATAACCAGCAGATCTACTGCACATCAGATGATTGCCACCAGCGACCCTTTTGCATTCCACAGCAAATGCAGAGAATGGATGTGACGAGCTCTAGCCACAAAATAACAATAACAAAACAGTAACTGCAAAGTTATGTGAAAAAAGGCTGCTTTCTAGCAGTCCACCATGCACGAAAGCTTCCCCACATGACGCTGTACATGGTATACACATACAATGTTACCTGTCAAGTTAGAAAAGTTGAAAACTTAACTGTTTAACAATAAAAGACCATTCCCGATATATGTACATATATAAAACTTACATGTGCAATTCTGAAAGCATGCGCCACTCGGTCGCAAACAAAGAATGTGCAAAGCAGCCCTGAGCACACCCATTAAAGCTCCAGCCAGATGGCTAAGCTCCTAAGGAAGTCGAGTTAGGACTGCAACCCTCCTCACACTGAAAATCCTCAGTGCTGTAGGCTTCAGTGTTGCTCTTTGCCTACATTTAAGGGGGAAATGTCAGTTCTATTCAAATGCTCTCTGAAAGTAGGAGATTGAACTCATCTTAAAAAATTCAGGAAGTTACCATTGTTCTGAAGACAAAATCGTTAAGTAAGAAAAACTATGATTAACACCTTTCATGATTAAAGGTAAATATCCTTAAAATACTAGCCAACTAAACTCAGCACTATTAAGAAAGAACAAGATTATGGAATAATATTTTGGACACTATGAAGATGTGTCTTTGCCAAGGCACCTTCTGATTGGATTAATAAAAGAGTTGACTGGCTGGTAGCTAGTCAGGAGGTATAGGTAGGACAGCCAGACGGAGGATGCTGGGAGGAAGAAGGGCAGAGTCTCAGGAGACAGAAGGAGACACAGAACAAGCAGGATGGGAGGTGTGGACGTGAGGTAATGAGCCTCGGGGCAGCACACACATGAAGAGAAATGAGATGTTCTAAGAGCTAGCTAAAAAGAAGCCTAAGCTAATGGCCAAGCATTTATAATTAATAATAAGTCTCGGAGTGATTATTTGGGAACAGGTACGAGGACACAGAGAAAGTCAGCCTACAGAGTAACACAATGAGCAAATGAGATTGGCTTCAGAGTCCAACACTGGGTCAGGGAATGTGGGAACTTGGAGACATGGAAGAGAGGGTCAGAAATTCCCCAGGACAACTACAACTCAACAAAAGTGTCACAAAAAACCACATCACAGTCTTCTAGTCTAACAATTACCACGCTGTATTTTGTGATAAAAATGAACTGTGAAGAAATGGGAGTATGTGGCACTCCTGCCTAGGCTGTCCCGTCTACCATCATGGATTTTCCAGCTTGCTGGGTCAATGGCAGGGCCCATTGACCACCACCAATGGGGGTGGTGGGCCCAATGTCAAAAACTTGATTTTGAGCCTATTACAAACACCTGTGCTATCATCAGCACCAGCAGGAAAATGAGAGATGAAAGCCTTCCTGTGAAAAACTACAGCTTCAATCCCAGTGACAGGAACTGAAGATGGGCAGACTAGCTGTAATTGCTACAGTGAGAACCTAGAGATGAGACAACCATCTAAGGGATAAAGACATTTTCACACTCCTGGAGGACCGGAAAGCATACACATGATCCAAGAGAGCCCAAGTATTCTACAAACCCACAGCTGATAGACAGAAGGCAGTGTAGACTTTCAGGGAGCAAGCAAAGGGGCATGTAAGGCAGGAAAGACGTGATTTTATATATTGATTGCCTTCTTAGAAATAATAAAGGCCAGAAGTTTTAAAGAAACTACAGTCCACAAACAACTCTGCAACCAGCAAAATGAGAAACCACAACAAATAACCTAAACACTGGAATAGAAACGAAGGTGGACAGAACCTACTGTTAAGAGACCTGGCTTATGAAAAATTAGAAAATGGAGTCCTATAGGTTCAGAGTACACAAGCCTCCTCAAGCACAAGAAAGGGAAGTAAAAAGGATGGAAAATGCTGCAAAATACAAAGGCAATATAAACCCCCTTTGTTCTTTTTCTCTTCATTTAAGATATAAAAGCACATAAATCAATGATCAAAACTCATGCTCTTGGCACTAACACAGATATCCAATGTATGACAATAATGGCACAAAGGGAGAGCAATCAGACTCTGAACCCTATAGATTTAACCTCAAGATTGTTTTAAATAAAGATATGTATTGTAATCTCTAGACCCACCACTAAAAATTAACTAATGAAGAGTTATTTATTCACAACTCAGTATACTGCAGCACAATCCACCAACCTAGCAACCTAAGTACCCACCAGTGAGTCCACAGAGGAAGAAGATTGTGTGCGTGTGTGTACACAATCAATTACAACAATAATAACCATGGCAACACTAACCAACGCTTCTTAAGCACTGACCCCATGCTACACTCAGTAAGCCCCTTTAATTTAGGAAAACTGTAAGATCACAGGCGAGGCATGGCTATTCCAACCTGACAAACTGTAAAGCTCTGCTAAGAAGACTTTCCTTCGAAGGGTAAATGGGTTTTGTTGCTTGCTTGTCTTTGTTTTGTTTTGAAAGCTCCAGGATTCACCTCATTCATGACGAAATGAGACCTATATAAAATGTGCAAAGTGCAAATACTTGAACCCTAACAGCTGCTAGCTCCTCAGACTAGAGAGAACTGGCAGGTGAAGGGACAGACACAGGCTCCTCCCAAAGGATAGTGAGCGAAGAAGGAAAGACACAGCCCTTTCCAGGGCTGGGGAATAGGCCCCTGCTTCTTTAGCAGCAGCACACTTAGAATGCAGTTGCCACTGGTATCGCTCTCTGCTTCAGTCCTAGAGGCCTTCGCATGCTTATGTCATCTCTTGTGTGGAGATCTGCACTGACATTTCATTTCACTAGAATGTTGGGCTACGCAAAAATGTCAACCGTGCCTTCAGTCTGAATCACTGGCTTATTAGTTTGTCTCCCAACAGAAAGAAAGCAGAGTCCACACACCTGTACCGGAGCTATTGTCTCCCCCTTCTTCCTACGTTCTGCATCCAACTCCCTCACTCTTCCCCTCTCATCTGCACAGATGACTTCTGGTCAATTCCTGATTCTCCTCCTATGTGCTCCTGTAGAATCCTGAACTTACACTCTTACTTGCCATAGCCTTCATTATCTTTTGTATTATTATAATTGCTGGAAGTACCAAACTTAGAATGTGCTGATCACAACATCAAAATAAAGTAAGCAAGTGAGGCCAGGGGATGGCTTGAGGGAGCCAAAGCATAAGATTAGTCTGCCTATACGCCCAGCATTGCCAAGGGTGAGACAGGAGGATCACTGGGGTTTGCTGGCCACCGCCTAGCTTCAGGTTCATGGGAGATCTTGCCTCAAGACAGTGGAGAGAGATGATAGCTCATGTCAAGTCTGTTCATGTATAGGCACCCACGCAGGTACCATGAACACACATGCACACACACATATAGAGAAACAAATAAAGCAACTATTCATAAGAAGAAGCCTGAAGATAATAAATCATAAACATTATCATTTTATTCTCTATCCTAGCCAAACAAAACAAAATTTCTTAAGTCTAACCTGGCTCTAACTGTGAATAATAGCATCTGAACAAACATCCCACAAGAACTGAGCACAGCGAAGGTGGGGAGGGCAGATCTCTATCTATGACGGTGAAGACACTGTCTCTTTGGTTTTAAAAAGAGACCATAAAGAAGTCAGAAAATGGCTGTACATGCCTTAAATGTTAGGCCTTAGTGTTCAGAGTTCTTGTTTGACATTTTCTACATCTTTGTGACATAGAAATATACTAAAAAGGGGCTGTGTTAATTCTGGAGATTCACACTATATACATAATCATATTTTTGTGATTGTTTTTCTTGTATTAAAAAGAGAAAATAATATTTACTTCACTTTAGAATACAGCTTAAGAAATTGTACTCTAATAATTCCACTAATTTACTCCCTGCCTATTGGATAGTTTTCAAGTCTTTCCATTTTAAGCAACAATAGACTTACATCATCTGCAATGCCGAAGATTCTGGAAGTCAAATACTTGAGTGTAACAGTTCCACATAACCAACAACACCCTTGGATAACCTACAAAAGAAAAATAAATAAAACAAACTTTCTTCCACCTTCTGTAGCCTGGAGCAGTGAACGGAGCACATGCTTTATCCTATGTTAGCAATACTAGCCCCAAGGGAATGTCTTCTAAAAGCACATTGTTCAAAAACCAAGGGTTATTATAGCTAAAAATAAAACTGAAAACATAGGACCTTCCTAGCAAAATGTATTTCTGTCTTATCAGAGATGTAAACAAGAACTCCAGCTTGACTCCTACAGTGGGGTTGTCACACATGGCTGTCCTCAGAAGAAACATGGGGTAATAAATAAAACTTCAGACAGAGCCCTCATACGCTTATTACAAAGCAAACAGGCCCCTTGTGTGCATAATTTCTTAAAAAGTAAAGCACAAAACCAATGCTGTATTTTAGAGAAGAAAACACGTAGGTTTATTCTTACCCATAAACTAGGTTCAGATACATTCATTTTTAGCAACTGTGGTTTCAATGCCAGCAACCCCTGAATAGGAACACAAATGAATACTCAGACACTCAAGTAACAATTGTTCTGAATAACTGAGACTTTGAAAAATATGAAATTCAGCACATGATTGATTTATTAATTAAATCTGTTCTTTGACATTTTCACGCATGTATGAACTCCATCCTAATTAATCTACAGCCCTGCCTCTCTGTCCCCACTCTTTCTTCCTACACATTTCTCTCCGACATTCATCTCCCTTGCTTTGTTTTGTGGATTTTTCACAATTGCCACCCCATGTCCACATATGCAGTTAGTGATTTCAAAGCATACCTCAAAAAAAAAAACACTAAAAATTGTACTGTTATTGAGAATGTAAAATTGAAAAGAAAATCAGTATATAAAAGACCTACTTCTCTATTTTCCATATCAGGTTTACCTATGATGAACCAAGAGGTATACAACAAATTCAGAAATTTAAATAGCTCATAAAAGCATAAGATTCCCTTTAAGCTTAAAATTCCTGACTTACGTGATGAAGTACACATGAGATTTTACTGTCCTAACAGAACAGCTCTGTGTTAAATCAAGTCTGTCCAGGTGCATGAATCCTAAACTCTATAAGCTCCAGTGAGAAAAACAGACTTCAAACTTGGCAGAAATGACTTAGAGAATTTGTTGATCTTAATCCCAGGGCACAGCAGTAGCAACTCCAAGTTTAGGGCTGCAAATAGCATCACCTCAAGCCCACGGCTGTGGCTAAATATACTTCAGCTACAGAGTAATAAATAACACATCAGCTACAGGTAGTGCCTCAGGCTGGAGAAAGCATGTGTGTGTCTTGGAAATGGGTATTTTAAAGTAGCTACTTGTGAGGCAGAGCTGTAAGACTCTCCAAATATACTAATGGGCTCTGGAAATCAACTGAATCAAAGGATGACTATTCAAAAGGCAGAAAGCACTCCAACGGGGAAGTGCAATGTGTGTGTTATCAAGACACAGACCCAGCTGGAGTGCGTGTGCCACAGGCAGAAGTGGAAACCGGGTTTGCACAGCACTGTAATAATAAAGCCTGCGAATCAGAGTCATTTCCTAAAGGTGCACCAAAGTCTGAATTTAAGACAACTTTTAGATTTAGACTGAAACTGGAAAGATGAAAAGAAATCAGGAATCACAGAAATCTCCTGCAATGAACTCAAGAACAAAGCAGGTGCAAGGGGAGCTGAGGGGAGGAAAAAGCAACCTAGGGACAGCAGGACCTGAGGCTCTGAGCTTTCCAATGGTGATGCCACTGAGTCTTAATTTCTGCAGTGAGAACTTCATTGCTCCATCGGGTAAAGATAAAGCTGATAAACACTTTATATGACCCTGCAGAAGTTACTCACACATTCCAAACCAGTGATAGAGAAGTTGAAACTGTTTCAAAAACAGACAGGGCCAGACAGCTTAACTGAACATAGTGAGCTATCAATAAAAAAACCAAAGCCTGCAGCGGAGAGGATGTGCTGAGGAGATATGGGGAATATCTATGGTCATATTTCACTGTATACATTCATAAACTTCTCAAAAATAAAGCTTTTTAATAAACAGTTAAAGGAATACTTACCCAAATTATCACCAAAGAGGATGCATAGTAAGATGTGAGCAACATCGAGTTCCCAAACATCAACACGAAACAAAGCACAAGAGAAATCTATAAAAATCAAAGGAAATACAGTTAGTGCACACGGACTCAAAGGAAGAATGTGGATGTTCATTTTCTAATTGTACACTCCCGTGATTGAGGAAATTTAAAGCACTCAAAAAGGGCAACCAGGCAAGCCCAGCTCACTCTACATCCCAAGCCCCACACTCCAAGACAAGGTGCGTGCCATCGCCAGCCATTTCCTGCGCACCCTCCCAGACACCAGCATTTCAAATTCTAGTTTACATCTCATTCACAAGCCACGAACAGTCACCCACCCGCAAGCTATCCTTTCTTGCTTTGACTCTTAAACATGCTTCGAGAAGCTTCCCATATCAACCCAAATCTATCTAATTCATGCTAAAAACTGAAAAAAAAAATGCCACTCTACAGCTAACTAACTGTTCTGAGTACTGGCCAGCACCTAAGTGCCTTCTAGTTCTACCCCACTTTTTTTATTCCCCGACCCAAATGACAAGGCCCTTCTGGGTGCCCCTTATGCACCGGTCAACCCATTGCTATAGATGCCTTCTAGGTACATCTTATGTACTGGTCAATCCATTGCTATAGATGCCTTCTAGGTACATTTTATGTACTGGTCAACCCATTGCTATAGATGCCTTCTAGGTACATCTTATGTACTGGTCAATCCATTGCTATAGATTCAAAGAAAACTGATGGATCAAGAAACAGTCTTTTCAAAAACAACAGACAAAATACTGACAAGCAGATGCACCAGTTTAATGCCCACATACTGGATGAACGTTTCTGCTGACCCACACTCTGACTCACCCTGCACGCTGCTTCTTGAGGGCTGCCCAGCTTACCTGGGCCAGTGCTCCATCATTGCTTCCCCTTCACTACTGAATGGCACGAGACACTGCCTCCCATCAGTTATGTGTGCATTATGAGTGGGAACTGCTTATTTTTACTATGTGCTTTTACTGTTGGATTAGTGTTTTTTTTCTTCAGGCTCTTGTTAGATGTCACAGGAAACAAACACGCTACAAGGATTTCCCCAGTACATTTTTTCTTTGTCATATTTTTGTATTATGATTACTAGTTAAATTTTTATGTTAGTCATATCTTCTTTAGGTCATCAAGACTTACCTTTATAATTTAGAAAGCTTTTAAAAAAATAAAAAGCTCACATTTCTTTGATATATTTCCATTTGTGTGTGGATTTCATTTCAAAATACACTACAACTTGAGAATAAAAGGTACAATCGTTTCAATCAATACAGAAAAGTATTTGGCAATTTTCAGCATCATCCAGTTACAATACACTGAACAAACTGGTGAAAGGCTGGATCTACCTCTTCATAACAGAGACCACATATGAAGCCACAGCAGGCTCTTTTCTCAACACTGAGAGACCGAAATCTCTCCCTCAAGGGACAGTGGCATGGGACAGTGTAAACTTGTGTCATTTAGATGGGAAAGAAGACATCCAAGGCAAAATGGAGATGAAAGAGTAAACAGTCTGTTCACAGACACATCTCTGTAGGAAAAAAAGCCTAAAGGTGGGAGAACAATTGTTAAAAGTTCAAAAAAGTAACCGCATGTAAAGTTCACACACAAACACATACACACAAAAACAACTTAGTATCCACATGCTAACAAGAAACAATCTCAGAGAGAAATCTAGAAAATAAGTCCTTTGCCAATAGCATCAAAAATGAACAAAAATACTTAGTGGTTAGCTTAATCGCAGAGGCACAACACTTACACAAAGAAATCTATAAAATGATATTGAAAGAAATAAAGACATAAACGATGGAAAGGCAGCTCATATTTATTGTCTGAATGCTGTTCCCATGCTATCAGCACCCAGACATCTACACAGTCAGTGCAGTAACTATAAAAACCCAGCATCTTTTGCAGAAATAAATATTCATTCAGAATCTAAAGGGGCACAGGGGAGATAAAACAACAGTGAAAAAGAACAGGGTACAGACTCAGACTTGGATTTTAAAACTTGATATGAAGCCAAAGTCCTAAAAATGCTGTAGGGCAGACACCGACCAATGACATTGAACTCCAATTGAACTCAGACACAACCCCTCCAATGAGGGGACCGATGCTTTTTGACAAGAATTCCAACATCAGATAATGGAGATGAGACAACCCATTCAAGGAACAATGCTTAAGAAGCTAGACACTCCATGAACATGGACCGTTATCTAGTGCCGTCCCACAGAGAGAGCTTAGAAGTTGTCACTGGGTCTTAGCAACAAGTAGAATTGTATCATGCAGAGAAGTGAGATCACAGGGAAAACTGCCTCAGGTGGAAGAGAAAGACAGGTGCCACTCAAGGCAGCGGAACACAAACCCCTGCGAAAGCAGCCCCAGAAGGGGGACTTGCACTGTGACGGAGGGATGGCAGCTGCAGTGGCCAATGGGAAGGGAGCTTACAATTCAGTCATTTCTTTTTTTCCTCTCAGGGAAAAAACCACAAAGGAAAACCTTTCGATGCTCCAGCAGGAGGCGAAAACAGTGCTGCTCTGAAATATGCCAGAGCATCCCGTTTATAGGAAGAAGTTACGCTAGCATTCTACATTCTTTTCTGGAAGATGGGAGCTGAGCAAACTTTTAAATCCCTTCTAGGGCACAAGATTACTCCCATTCTAACTCAGATGATGACACCATAATCAAACTACTTCAAGTATTTCCCATAAACAGATGAAAAACAAACAAAAAACTCTAATTCAACAAAATAACAGCAAACCAAATTGGACAATGGGTAAGAAGACGCACACACTACAACCCGATGAATGTACCCAGGCAGTAGCATTCAGCATTTGAAAACCAATTAGTATACAACATCCACAGCCTGAAGAATAAAGCAGGGAAAGAAAAATTACCTGACCAAGTTCAACATGCATTCATAGTTTAAGGGAAAAAAACTGCAACAAACTGGGGATGGCAAAGACAATCCATAAACTTGGCAAAGATCTACAAAAGACAGAGACCCACACTGGAGCACTAGACTGAGCTCCCAAGGTCCCAATGAGGAGCAGAAGGAGGCAGAACATGAGCAAAGAAGTCGGGACCACGAGGGGTGCACCCACCCACTGAGACAGTGGGGCTGATCTATTGGGAGCTCACCAAGGCCAGCTGGACTGTGACTGAAAAAGCATGGGATAAAACTGGACTCTCTGAACATGGCGAACAATGAGGGCTGATGAGAAGCCAAGGACAATGACACGGGGTTTTGATCCTACTTAATGTGCTGGCTTTGTGGGAGCCTAGCCATTTTGGATGTTCACCTTCCTAGATATGGACAGAGGGGGGAGGACCTTGGACTTACCACAGGGCAAGGAACCCTGACTGCTCTCTGGACTGGAGAGGGAGGGGGAGAAGAGTAGGGGGAGGGGGAGAAGGGTGAGAGGAGGGAGAGAAGGGTGGGAGGAGGGGGAGGGAAATGGGAGGTTGGGAGGAGGCGGAAACTTGTTTTTTTTTTCCTTTTCTCAATAAAAAAAAAAAAGATCTACAAAAGTCCATGTGTGTACATCAGTGTTAATGTAGGGTAACAAGCTTTCCTGCCAAGCTTTCCTCCTACTGTTGCTTCTAAAAAGTCCACATCCTACAATGAGGAAGGATGCTAAGGCAGAAGGAAGAAATCAGATATCTTTGCAGATGACATGGCAATTTGTAGAGAATATCTCAACCAACCAACAAAACCAGAGTTAATAAGAAACTGCAGCAAGGTGAAATGTGGGAAAAGTTATCCATTACAGCAGCAAGAGTTTGAGATTAATAATGCATTGCTATTTAAGCTAGCATCTGAAAAGATGAACTATATATAAACCCAAAAAATGTGCACAAGATCTCTGGACAGAGGTTTACATACACAAACATATACAAATAAGTACTTAAAATAAATGTAATAATGAATGTATATTAAGTATTTGTATATATGTATGTATGTACATATATATACACATATACACATGCATATATATGTGCTATAGAGATTTGCATTGGTACAGATCTTGGTTTGTTGATACAAATTTAAGGTCAATTTTATTATATGTATATTTCTGCTCTTGATTAAGGTATTGCGTTTGTGTAGCTCATTTAAAAATGTAATGTATAACTAAGATAAAGAAACTGCCTTGAGCTGTTGATAGGGCAAAAGAAAAGGGCTAGGCTGGGAAAACTAAATGGAATGCTAGGAGAAGGAAGGCAGAGTTAGAGAGAAGCCATACAGTCCAGATGGAATTTTACCCGGTAAGCCACAGCCATGTGGCAATATACAGATTATTAAAAATCGGTTAAATTAATATGTTAGAGTTAGCCAATAAGAAGCTAGAGCTAATGGGCCAAGCAGTAATTTAATTAATACAGTTTCTGTGTGATTATTTTGGGACTGAGCAGCTGGGAACCAAGAAGTGTCCTTCTTACCACATATATGGGCTGGAGAGACAGCTCCATGGTTAAGAGAACTAGCTGTTCTTGCTAAAGGTTCAGGCTCACTTTCCAGCATCCACATGGAAGCTCACAACCTTCTGTACCTCTAGTTCTAAGTGATCCAATGCCCTCTTCTGACTGCTGCAGGCACCAAGCACAAATGTGATACATAGATATACATACAGGCAAAATATATACAGATCTATATAGAGAAAACTATGCAGCACTGGTTAAAACATTCAAATAGGTAAATAAATAAATCTTTAAAATTAAAAATTCCAACTCCAAGAAAGTCAATGCCAAGATCATGACAAGTTGTAGACTAAGAGAAAAGTATTGGCAAAAGGTACATCTGAGCTGGGGCTGCAGCTCGGCAACAGAGCACTGGACTAGCATGGATGAGGCTCTTGGTTCAATTCCCAGTACCCAGCTTTAGAAGGAAGAGAAAAGTACCATCTGTTAAAGGATTGTTATCCAAAATAATACAAAAAATTAATAAAGATTTAAACTCTGTAATAAAATGAACAATCAAATTTTAAAAAAGAACAGATGACAAAGGACCTGAACAAACAGGACAGCAAACCAGACACAGATAA